CAAGACTGAGAATGCAAACTACCTCTACTTGTCACTACACAAATAAGCTAAGGAAAGTTAGTAACCTGCAGTCTCTGCCCTACCTCCTTTTGGGGCTGTAGTGACAATTAAATGCACCATTATGTGCAAAATGCTTAGAACAGAGACTGACAATAATCATACTATCAAAGTCATCTGTGTTAATAATCATTATTTTTATAAGAAATAGCATCCCAATTCAAACAAAACACTACAAATCCTGATAATGTTGAAATTTCAATTTGCTTTACCAATGAGCCCAAACATTTACAACAGTCAAACTTAGCATCTTACTATCCTATATTGACCCCATTCAAAAGTCAAATTTTCTCCAACTCTGAGTCATCTTTAATTTATCTCGTGACTCATCACATAGCAAGGTGGACAATCTGGAACATAATGGGATTACCAAAAGTTATTTCTTAAATTACCTGGATTTACAGCTTACCAAGTAGAACATGTCCCAGAAATACTCAATAAATACACTGAATAATCATGTCCTACACTGTGTTTCTGTGGAAGGGTGTTCGGCATAATAAATGCTCTTTTATTTTCTGTTTTGCTATTCTAGTTTAAATTATGGAGTAGACAGTCAATCCTGACAGAAAAATGTATCGTTTAAATAATATAAAAATTCACATTCTTTAATTGCTAGCCAAAAATAATTTTATACTCTGCTGATGGCCTAAAATCTAGCCAAGTAAACTTAGATTCAAGGGTAAAAGACCAGAAAGCAATATCTAAGACTTCACATTTGACCTTAATTTCTATTCAATTCCACACTTTCACTTTTTCCTTCATTTAGATGTTTATATTATTTAAGATGACTGTGATTTAAAAAAAGTTAAGGGAAAAAAAATCTAAGGAAAATGCTAAATAATGGAAGGCAGATTAATTTTCTAAAAATTCCTTCAGATGTGCACTTACACAAACCACATTTTCTTCCTATGCAATCTTTATGAGGTGACAAATAACTGCACGTCTGAATTTTGAGGCATTTACTCTCTATGCCTTCATTCCCCCCTCTGGAAATAAGCGATAAAAGAATAGGAGCTGGTGCTGGTGGCTCATGCCTATAATCCTAGCCTCCTAAATGGAGGCTGAGATCTGAGGACTGCAGTTGGAAGTCAGCCCAGGCAGGAAAGTCTGTAAGACTCTTACCTACTAAACTACCCAAACTATCAGATGACTTAGTCTTAAACACTGACTACCCAAAAAGCCAGAAGTGGAGTTGTGGCTCAAGTGGTAGAGCACTAGTCTTGAGCACAAAAGCTGAAGGACAGCGCGTAGGCCCTGAGTTCAGGCCTCAGGACTGACACACCAAAAAATAAAAATCAGCACCACGAGATTGGTATGATGAGCTTGGTATTCTGAATACTACACCACTACACAAATGCAAGCTTTCAATGTAGGTTTACTTTTTAGACTTAAACCAAAATTTTAGTGTCATCATTACCTATGGAAAGCTTCTATTCTCTGTGGAACTACCTCTATTATTCATGTAAATCTACACAATGGCAGTAACTTCACAGACACCATAAGAATGCATTCACAATTGTCTGGGAAGTTATCTTCAACTTCTCTGTGAATTAGGTATGCTACTCAGAGACGAAGTGTGTTTGCCATATTTCCGTATTTTACTTGAGAGCACTTTGTGGGCCTGTTTTCTACTCATTCCTGTATCCCCAGATTGCAGCCTAACTTAACCCGGACTCATATTAGAATTACATGGGGAACTTATAAAAACATTAATGCCTGGGATCCATCCCAGACCCATTAAATCATAAGGGAGTGGGAGTGGAGGGCAGAGAGGGCAAGGAATCAGTATGGGGAGCATTTATTTTAAGATCAGCACGTGGTTTCATTGTGGTGCCAAAGTTAACTACTACACTCTGATATTTAAAGTACTGTATCTGTGTATAGATGCATGTGAGGATATATGCATAAATACACAGGTATAGAAACATGTATAACTCAAGCCAAGATTCTGAACACACAGTAGTCGAATATAATCAATTATATGCTTCATTACCATGCTTTTAAACTGTTACATAGCACTTTAGCTTTTCCATATAATTATGTGTTATCCTTCTTTCTAGATTACAGCCTTACTCACTGAGAATACAGGCTGCCTTATTTTTCTTGTTTTCTCCAGTTTGCATAAGATAGTGTCTGGAATAGACATGTCAGTAAACATTTGTCTGATCTAACACACACACATGAAAATTACTAGTAGGAAGTATGTTGCCACAGCCAAATTATCTACTTCAGACTAATCACTACCAAAAAAGTAAAGTAAAATAAAAACAGACAAAGTAAAAATCTAGGGAAAAGGTGGGTATTTTTTTTAACTTAATAATGAGAACCAGTAAAGTTTTCTCATTAAGGAGCATCTGGGTGTTAGGACTATTACAGTCATCAGACAATACCCACCTTATTCCCTATCTCCTAATCAGTCAGTTTCAGCTTTTAACCTGCTTTCCTTAATAAAACTATCTGCTACTTGATTTTAGTATCTTTAGCTGCCATTAACAATATTACCTTTACGATATTAAATAATCCTGTCACTAATAACATGAGTTAGTGAAAGCCACAATGAAGGCGGCAGGCAGATAGATGTTCAATATGTACCTCTTGAAAGAACTCTTAACCACCAATAAGTCCTCTGCAAACTAACCGTATGGTAGTCTAATATAAACTTGGTTGAGAATATTGTATTGAAGTCAGAAAAGTCTTACTCAACATCAGATGAAATATACCTACTTTTAACTACTGACAGTCCTTTCACAATATTTTTAATACCTGGAAGTTTTGTAAAATATAACTTTTTAAAACCAGTTTTACACAAGAAACCCCTTCTCACTGTTGAAAACTAGAATGGTATGTAATTCTAAATATGCAACCATATGAAGACATGGGAAAGGACTAGCTTCTATGTTTTGCAGTAAAAGCCTGAAAAACCTAGAAAGGAGGCATTCAAGAAATATGCCTGCTAATTAGATACTGTGGTAAAATATTACTTTGTTTTGTTTGTTCCTACTGCTTGAAACACAGAGAGCCCTAGTTACCACTAGAGAAAGCAGTCCTCAATTCCCTAGTCAATAAAAAAGGTTCAAATTCCACAGACAAGAAAAAAAAAATGGTACCCTGGGTTGTTTGTTTTTAAGGAAGATTAAATTTAGGAGTTGCCAACACCCAAACGAAAAACATTCCAGAGCATTAGACTCAATTGTAGTGGAGAGTCATCTACATTCTCAGCACTAGGTTCCTGTTGCGTTAACAAAGGGTGCCTCTTCAGATCTCCCAATATATACCCTAAAGATTTCCCCTAGTGAACATCACTTGGTTTTTTAAAGTACTCAAAAAAATAATTTTAGCAGGCAGCCAGACAGAAAGTGAAGTTTAACATCTGCCAAGATATTTCCCAAAATAAGACCCCTGTCAGATGAACAATGAGAAAACATTAAAAATGACAAATTCTTTTATTTGGCCCATAAGCTACTTTTAGAGTTGAGGAATGTAGCTTTTTCCAAGTCTTGTCTTCAATTTCCCCTTAATCTTCATATTTTTACATTTAAAAAAACTGGAAATTTGATTACCTCTTATAAATTCCTTTGAAAGCAATTTAATGAATAACAGATATTTGGTTCAAGTAGCAAAACACAGAGGACAGTTCTGCTGGCTGATTAAAAAAATTCTCTAAAATTATTCACATGAACTCACCCTACTGACACACATTAGGTACAGAAATCATATTAATACTTAAAAATGATGTGTATTACTGCAAATACTTTCACTTAAATCACAAAGTTAATTTTTCCTCAAGACAAGGTCTTGCTATGAGTCCAGTGTGGCCTTGAACTCATGACTCTCCATCTCAGCCTCCCAAGTGCTGCTGTACAGGCTTGTGAAATCACACCAGGCCCCTCCAAAGTTAGGGATGAAACCTGGGACTCTGTGCATGTTTGGCAAACACCCCATCACTGACTCAGTCAGTAAAATAATTACTTAGTAGATAGCAAAGTTGAGTAAATTAGGCCAGGAAAAGGAGGGAAATGTGAAACACAAAAAGTCATTCAGAAAAAATTGTGGTACTTGATTGAAATAAGGTAGTTAGTTCCAAACACAGGAGCTATAAAGTTGCCTAAACTTGTCTGGGATTGTTCTGTGTTGATTCAAATTGATTATGTAGATTATACACTACATACAATTGTGTGTGTGGGGGGGGGGGTTGTATCTAATGGGATGCTGCAGCAGCTGCCTGCAGAAATGTTTTTAGACTCATCAAAAATCCCAGAAACATGCACACAAAAAGCACAGCTATCACAAATGTTTTTCAGATACTTAAATACAAGATGAGATCTCTAAGCGTGAGTTACAGCATCCCTCTTGACCTAACTATCACTCAAAGAAAAAAAGAAGTCTGTTGGAGAACTCTATTTATAAAGAGCTGATTTATACAGGATCCGGTGCGGATGGGATACATTCATCCCGAGTTCCTTGCAGATAAAGCTGTCTTGGAGATTCCCAAAGCTACATTTTCTTTACAGGTGCTGGTAAACACTGCTAAGAGGGAAGAGATAAACAATCTGATAACTTGACAGGGGCACGTGGGAAACTCCATCATCACAGCCATGAATCAATTTTCCTAACTGATCAAACGTACACAGATCCGTCCGGTCGGCTAGCCCTGGAGCCACAAGTTTGTTTTTTTCCCAGTATTCTAAAGCAGTCTTTTCTAGTATTCTGAAGCTGTGAGAACTTAGGCTGGAAAGAAAAGGGAAGAAAAGAAAAGAGCACGTGTCGCCCTTGGGGTTTGGGGAACTTCCCAGGAAGCGTCCTTCCCCGGCCGGACTCGAGCTAGAGAGCGAGCGGGAGAGGGAGTGAGCACGGAGCCGGGAGACGCAGCAGGAGGCCGCCCCCACTCACACCCGCCCGCGCCCCGCCGAGCCCGGGCCCAAGCTCGGCCCCGCCCGGCTCACCTCGGCGGCGGGGATGTTGACCACGCCGGTGGAGCGCCGCTTCTCCCGCAGCTTCCTCTTCTCGATCTGCCCCTTGCCTTTCCTGGCACTGGGGCCCGAGCTCCGGCCCTTCTCCGGGGCGCCGTCAGGGTCTTCCTCGTCGCCCCGGGGTGTCGGGATCCCCGAGGAGGCGGAGGCAGCGACGGCAGGGGGGTCGTCCTCGGGTCTCCGCAGGCCCGGAGGACCCGCCCGGGCCAAGGCGGCGGCGGAGGCCACCGCGCAGTTCACGCCCCCAGGGCCGGGGCCGGCAGGTGCGGCCGAACCACCTGGGAGGTTGTTGTTCAGTTCGTTGGCCGCCGCGGCCACCGCCGAGGCAGCCTGCGCCCCGACGGAGGGCTTCCCGGCCGGGTCGCCGCCGCCCCCGGGCGCCCCGGCCGAGCCCGCAGGGTTCTGCTTGGCGCGCATCTTCTCGCGCTTCGCCTTCCATTCCTCCAGGAAGTCTGTGGTGCTGCCACCGAGGCCGCCGCCGGTCCGGTAGCCACCGGTCGCCATGTTCCCAGAGGGACCGGCCGGGTCCTCACCTCGGGCCGCCCACCCGGCTCGGGCCGCGGCCGCCGCCGACGAGATGCGAAGGGAGCGACCCCCGGGGCGCCGGGCGATCCCGACTCCCTCA